TATTTCAGTTACAGATTTAAAGATACTACTTTGACTTACCTTTCAACCAAAAATCTCCTCAAACCTTCTCTGTGGACATCAAATCCCATAAGATGCTCAGTTTGTCTAATAATAGCAGCACCTTTGTTGTAACTGATTGTTGAAAACATCGAACTGACTGAAGATGGACTGCCTATGCCAGGGTTGGTCAATGGTTGAGGGTTGTCAGCTGAGTCACTCAGCAACGAAGTATGGACTTGTTCGTTGATGAAACGGGTACTCAGTCCCATGTATGTTTCAACCTATTAACGAAATAAACATTTTTATATTTATTCCAGTTTTAAAAACATGATGAAAGATGTGTATCAAATAGGTACTGCAACTTACCCAATCAGTTAAAAAGTACTGATAATATCTGGCGAATCCTTCGTTGAGCCACAACACGTCCCACCAATCGCAAGTGACGAGATTACCAAACCACATGTGGGCGATTTCATGTGACAAGATGTAAGCAATCAGCTGCTTGAAGTTGCTGTTTGTGTGGTTCTCGTCGTACAATAAATAAGCTTCCCTGGTAAAGAAAATAAGTTATAGGTAACTTTAAACATTCAAGTTCTGATTACTATTCCAAAGTTATCATTGAATATACAATACATTGGAATAAATATACTTGTCATATTACCTATAAGTTAACAGTCCCCAGTTTTCCATAGCTCCGGCAGAAAAGTCTGGAATGGCCGCCTGTGTCATCTTGACATGAGGGTGGACACTAAAGAAGTCCATGGCGGTATGATTGCTCATTTCGGCTAGTAGTGCCTGTCCTACTTCAAAAGCATACTGTCCTTGACCAGATTCAATAGCACCAGGTCTAGCAATAACTTCGTACTCAAGATCCCCTGTAATCTCGTTGAATTTTTCAAGAGTTTCGTATTCTGCCACTACTATAGCTAAAAGATACGTAGACTGTATCGGGGTTATAAAGAAGATATCGTCCTCGAAGCCTCTGCAATTAAAATTTGTGAATTTAAAATTATGAACAGCATTTTCTTTGTTTTACCATTTTTTAACAGGTTGCCAAAAATAGACAGAACACTGATATGAAATTACTTGAAGTACGTGATGACGAAATGTTCAAAGCATAAAGAGGAAAATTATTTACATCCAAGCGCGTGCATTGCACTCATACACACAACTATTTTGAGAAATTTTATTACATGCAGCTTAGATTTGCCAAACTCATTGCCAAAAGGTTTTTTCCTGTTTAACCCGAAGGTTAACTGGCAGAGAATGCCCAATGGCATTAAGTTCGCCTTACGTACCAATTATTGTATGGCAATAAAGAATAAAGTAATTGCTGGCACTGCAAGAGGTATTACCTATTATGATCTACTTTAATACCTCTTCCAAGAACAGAATATGCCTGGTCTGAATGCAATAACTTACTCAATGGGGCTGTTTATGGTGTCCTGCAGTCTCATGCCAGTCCAACTTTTGAATCCGACGGGCCTTCTGAGCGTAATGTTGAAGGTAGCTTTGAAACTTGGCTCATCGTAACAAGGGAACGCATAGCGGGCAGACGTCGCCTGGAACTGGGTTGAGGCCATCCAACTAAAACAATTCAGATATTGAAAGATTTGTAGTACATGATAAATGATATTTAAGCAAGCACTGAGCTTAATACAATAAAAATAAAATTAATAAATAAAAAAGAAAAATTTTAACGACAGTGGTCAGATCAGATCTCTCTTAGGTAATGATCTAATGTCAGTTGTTGTTTAAAAATGGGGTAAATGGTAAGTTAATTTTTCATTTAGCTTACCTCACGTTTTCGTCACTAGCATTATTCCTGTACCAGTTTTCGTAAATTCCGTACATGTCAGTCCTCAACGGAGCAATGAATTCGATATTCAGTGAATATAGAACTCTATTGGTCGCGCTGTATTGAAGGACGCCGTTACTGAGGGCCACTCTTAAGAAATGATACTCTGGCTGCAGGGTAACCGTATGAGGTATTTCAGTATCTCCCAATTTCAAGACCACCGAAGTGATATTTAATCCGTTTGCTTGGATGACGATTTCGTTGACGTTTTCTTGAGTCGCGTACAGTTGGATTTCCACCTCACCCGAGAAGATATTAGCGGGTATCTCAACCATCCACAGTATGTTGTAGTGTTCTGGCCTTGTCGTGGTCGGTAGTCGGTACGGGTTATCATCGGATCTAGAGAGTTGTGTGTTGCCATCGAAGTCATCTATGTTTTCGAAGGCTTCCCCTTCTAGTTTCTCGTCAGCGAAGATTGTGTTTCTGTATGGGCGAGGATCCTGGGGAAATGCTTGCGCCGCAAGGCATGCTGCAGCCAGAATTAGCAACTTGAGAGTCGCCATCTGAAAATACTTATTTTTAGCTGGATAGGATTTACCAATTTTCTTATTATACTGAGACTCTTAGTTTCAATGTACTCGTATGTAATTACTTTGAACCCAAAGTAATAATTTAATCATCGAAGTTACGTTATCACCGATAATATTTTTATCTGACATTTATCATCATAACATTACGTTATCGAATTAAATAGTTCTGAAAATTTTACAAAGTAAAGCCTAATTGCATTAATTTAATTTATTATTCGATGATAATATGATTATATTAGCACTTAATGGTTGTAGGTATATAAATTGGGATTTTACTTTGACTTCATTGAGACATCACCACCATCAGAGTTTTGTTTTCAAACTACAGAAACATTCACGAATTTAAATTAATAAAGAAATACACAACAAAATTTGGAAAATAATTAGAAACATGAACTTATGTAGTTAATTGCAACAAATTGGAAAAGATCGCGGTGGACACAAGCGCACGTACTGCTTGATGAAACGCTCTGGTGAAGGATATAATTATCGTAATACATAATTATATTTTCTGTATTCTGTTTAAAATAGCCTATATTTTATTTGAGTAAAATTGTACACTGGACATAATTGTCAGCGATGAGACATTTTAGGCGTTACGTCATTATACCTACACGTACGTTTTTGTGAAAGTTACATTACATAAAATAATGCATTTATTTAAGTGAGCAACTGATGTGTATATTGGACTTAAGGTTTGTGGTGAACTCAATATAGCGGTATAGTCAGGATATAAATTTTATTTTCAAGATGGGCTAAAAGGCTCTCCCAATTTCAGACCACTGATTTGCACGAATAAATCACCATTTTCTACATAGATTACGCAACTTCTAACTCTAACTTTATTCAATTTACAGTTTTACAGAACGCTCCTGTTTACAAAAAATGGGTATGTAAGTACATACTTTGTATCATTTCTGGTCAGTCCACGATAAAGCACTTCATTCGTTCTATTGAGCCAAACGACGTCCACTGCTGGACAAAGGCCTCCCCAAGGATAATGACATACGGAACGGAGTCGTGGGCGCTAAATATGGGCCCATAAAAAGGCTCAAGGACACTTGAAGGGCGATGGAACGTCTATACTCGGGGTTTCATTGCATTGCGTGATAAAGCACTTACTTACCTTTGATTTTCTAGGCAACTCCAGAAGAATTCGGCGCGTTCGACCGGACGCGACTGAGTTATCAAAATCTAAATTAGTAGATTATATAGCGCATTAACCATAATCAGAGATACTGTTTCATTATCTTTAATTATTAGTTACAAAGCCGTTGAATTCAGCAATTGATCAGTTCATATCTACACTGGTTATTGATCAAGTCGGATATAAGACTGAGTAATCGTACTTGGACTTACCTATTTTGTTATCTTTGAATTTCACTAGTCATTGGGTGTATATTTGTAATTCATTTGCGTTTAAAACGTGAAGGATTTCAGTCAATGAACCAATAGGATGTTCTCTTTTCGTTCGTTTCAGCCAAATGACGTCCACTGCTGGACAAAGGCCTCCCCCAAGTATTTCCAGGTACTTGCTGCGACAATGACAGATCCTTTGCTTTGCTTTCCAGGTACTTCCTGTGACCTTCATCAGATCATCGGTCCACCTAGTGGACACTACGTCTTCCGGTCCTTGGTCGTCACTCAAAAACATTTCTGCCCCTCTTCTTCTTTTTTTCCTACTTTTTAAGAATGTTCATTTTTTTGTATTATTAAATAAATAAATAATAAATTCTTTATTGAATAACTTATTTGACAGTTTAAACTCTAGGCTAATCTTGCACTATCGTAAATTCAATTTAACTTATTATCTTTGTTTCTGTGTTGTACAGACGAAAGGACGTCAAGACTGAACATTTCCATTGCAAAATAGCTCCTATTACATCTACTTAAGATGCCAGTCCTTCCTTCTTCTCTTGCAGGCTTATTAGGTAATTTAAATCAGTATTAACTTGCTATGAACGACCCGTTTTGGAATTGTTATTTCTAACAATCTAATAAAACTATTTCTAACATTTTTTCATTTGAAACTTCACTGTCTCAGTTATGTATAATACCTAACTTAAGCCCGATATTTTGCTTGCCTTGATTTAATTTCTGATCTACAAAGACATTGATGATCAGACATAGGTATTGCTATGATGCAGTTCGGTAAAATTCTTTGAGATCAAATGCTACAAGGAAAATGTCTGATATTGGTATTTTCGAGTTTAGGATAATCGCATCTATCGATTTGATGCGGTTTTAGCCGTATTGCTATGAGACAAAAATTTTGGTCGTGGGCTCTCGTACTATAACCAGAAAAAATCGAATTTTCCTAAGGTCCGACCGTCGACCTTTCGCTTACTGCTCTATATGTAGATCTGTAGTTATTTTAATTAATTAATGACGATGTAAATCAAGAATATCATCAATGCAGGCTCTGGCAGAATGTTGTTACAATCATTGAAATGTCGTAAAATATTTTCGTTTTATTCTATCAAATCAAAAGTATTCCAGGGGTGTTATAAATGTGTGTGTTTGTAATAAATCCAGCTATTTCGATAACAGTTTTTGCTTGTCTTAAAATAAAGAAGAATTATTATATTTTTCTCTCATTTTAATATAAAAAAATATTTCCTATTTCATAAAAATACTATAATATCATTAAAATAAAATTATAGTTCCTACCTACCTCATTAAATACAATCCTAAATGAATAAGAAGATACGTCCTACTTCATAAGTGAAAAGACAATTCAGTACATCGAATTTCCCTTTTTCAGGGGGTTGTTTTAATAAGCCGGTAATTACATTTAATTATTGGTATTAAGCAGCCGAAAATTTGTCACTTATCTTCGTTAATAAAAAAATATACAAAATGTGTACTTCTAATGTTACATTAGCTCTTAATATTAAGGTATTTTTTGATAATGTTATCTTGGAAATTATTTCCACAAACATAATGTTGCGAGCACAGTAGGTAAAGGTATGCAGCATTCAAGCTGACTAATACTATTTTAGAAGGCTACATTTACAGCCGCAGCGAAGGCAATGACGACAACTGATAACAAAGCTGTGTTGGCGGAATCTGGCTGCGCAGTAGTAGCTTCATCATCCAAAGGCGGCGTGGTTGGTGCGTCAGTGAAGATAGGTTCAGCAGTGATGATAGGATCAACAGTGATAGGTTCACCAGTGACGTTAGGTTCAACAGTGACGTCAGGTTCAACAGTGACTGGTGAAGACGTACTAACGTCCACCTCCTCAACCGGCAACTCGGGGGTAGTTGGCTCTACCAACGGCGGCGCTGTGACCGTGACCGGTTCTTCAGGGACGACGGGTTGAGACGTACTGGTTTCATATGTCTCATCACCCTCGTTTAGGTAATACTCTATGTCACTTTGAACGTCGGCAGCCCACTGGAGCGACTGGCGGGTGGACTCTATGCTGTTGTAAATAGAACTGTAGCTGGTGCCAAACACGTCCATATTAGCGACGACCCAGTCTTCAAACTGAAAGCAAAAATATTTTGTGTTGTTACTTTATTGTACCAAAAATTGTGATGCGTAATAAAATGAATTAGCCATTACATCTTCAATCTCTTGGACAGTTCTCAGCCGAGGTGTGATGTAAGACAGAGGAGTGGCATAATTCACAGGAGTCAAAATCGTGCCGAACCTGTAACAAATAATGAATTACGACTTCAATGACATCGAAATCTTCTCCAGAATTATGACATGAAGGCACATCAAATTTTTTTTTTTTTTTTNTTTATTTATTTTCCATATAAATACACACAGTAAACATTAATATTTTCTGCCAAACTGTGACACAGTTTGTCGGCAGCAGTTCTAATAATAATAAGGGTAAATAAGGGTAAGTAACAAAAAAATATAGTCCGATTTGATTGTGAGTCCGTATCTATTGCTCGAATTTACAAAAACTAGAAAATGACATAGTTGTTTTCAGATGTAATGTCGACGGTGCACTAAACACTGGAGCAACATAAATTATTGTTGTTTAATAAATAAGAGCGATTTTGCAACAGATGTGAATAGTCTGAAGTACTTTCGACTTCACACTACACAACGATTATCACTCACGCGTTAGCAACAGCTATGATGTTCCTCTGAATGTAGCGTAAGACGATCTGGGTGTTCCCTTCATTGCCGTTGACGGCGACATTATAGGTCCCTGTGTAGTCCTGCGATCGGATGATGTAGTTGTCCTCCACTATCGCGTCAAGAAGCCTGAAAAAAAGCTTTTGGTTACAACAAAAAAAGTTTAGAAAAAATATTAGTTGCGTTTTCGTGGACGTTGCTAACAAGTTCCCGTTTAATTTGGAAGTAAGTAATCCTTTGTCCCTCATTGAACGTCATTTGGCTGATAAAATTGGGAAAATACTTCATTTAGATTTACTTAAATAATCGTCAAGGTAGAGACAGATAGAATAGGTAAGATAAACCAAACCAATTGCACAGCGTGCTATGGAGAGGGCTATGCTTGGTGTTTCTTTATGAGATCGAATCAGAAATGAGGAGATCCGTAAATGAACTAAAGTCGCTGACATAGCCCGACGGATTAGCAAGCTGAAGTGGCAATGGGCAGGGCACATAGTACGCAGAACTGACGGCCGTTGGGGCAGCAAGGTTCTGGAATGAAGGCCGCGTACCGGAAAACGCAGCGTGGGACGTCCACCCACTAGGTGGACTGACGACATCATAAAGGTAGCAGAAAAGCGCTGGACGCAGGCCGCTACCAACCGGGTAACATAAAAACCATTGGGGGAGGCCTATGTTCAGCAATGGCCGTCCTATGGCTGAGATGATGATGATGACGATGATGATGAAACCAAACCAACTCATATAGCCTGCGTGCGCGATGGTTTGGCCAAACCTTAATGAATTCAAAGTTTTAACAGGTATGAGTAGTAAACTTACTTAACTTTTTTTTATCTAAATAATATATTTAACTTACCTGTTAAGCGCAGCCTCATGAGGTGTACAACCCAAGGTTTGAAGTATCAAGATTTTCTCGGTATAAACATTATGGTTCAGGAAGCGGTTCCAAAGAAAGTTGAAATCCTCTTCTGTACCTTGACGGAGGGCATTGCAATAAACCCAGGTACGACTATCAACTGGCACTCTAAAATGAAAAAAGTAGTTATAAAAGGATCAGTTTAGTTAAATTACCAGTAAAGCATCAGATTTGTGATAATCAGACTCCCAATTCGTGAAAGATCTATCAGCACTATTGCACATCCAAATTCCTTCTCAAGATTTTCTTCATCTATAGTTTAATTGAACTGTGAATTGTACGGAGTCGGTACTTAACGTGCGACTTATAAAATATAGTACTTAGTCATTTGGAGATACATACTCAATATTAGCATAACGCAATAGTTCAAACTGGCTGACAGCAGCCTCGAAACATGCGGATACGTTCAAGTTGCACATGAAGGGTGCCAGTTGATATCGCAGGTACGACTGCATGAACGATTCGTTGGCGATCGGATAGTAAGTGATTTGGCTCATCACTGTGGTCGCCCATTTTATTATCAGCTCCTGCAAAAATATGGCTAAGTTTGAGGACACAAAAGTAGGTCAGTCAACACACCATTTTTGGACAATTCAGTGTATTGTGATTGGATTAAGCGAACAATTAGATGTTAGGATAATGAGCATTATTGGACGTGTGGTTCTGGCGGAGTTAAACAGGACCATTTAATTTCCACTCTGGTGGGACCTCAGGACTCTTATGTAGTAAAAGACGATTATGAGACAAATATACGAAAATCTAGGCTAGTCCTCATTCCGTTTAGCCAGAGTGGGGAGTGTAGGCCAACTTCCTCTTAAATGAACTGATGAATACTTTGGTGTAATTACATAAACTTTCCTTCGCTGACACTAGTACCATCCAATAGTTCCATGATGTAACTACTGATAATAATTTACATCATTAGTTCCATTTAAAATGGAACTCGAAATAATTGAACTATTTATACTTACATCAAGATCACTCAGGTAAGAAGTACCAACAAGTCTGTTTCTGATCCAGTTAAACCCAGTGATGGCGGCTACCCATGGCGTGTATTCCGTCTCGTTCTCAAGGAAAGACAAGATGTTAAAAGCTCTGGTGTAAGTCATGAGACCAGAACGGGCGAATTGAAACACGTCGTTTACAATCTGAAATATTGATAGCAATTATTACCCCTGAATACTTATAATTATGTATCATGGTATAATCCGCAGCATTTTCGGGCCGAAAACGTTTTTATCAATTTAAACCGAATAACATTGATACCCAGCTGTCTACGTGTATATTTAATGATGTAGCACTTTTACTAGACTTGATCATGTCAATCCTGAAATTTTATGAAACGTTCAACAAACCTGAGCCCTGTTGTAGTGGTGGATCTGTGTTCTGTTTGGACCTCTCAAAGCGTTGATAATTAGGTTCCATGAATAGTCATCGTAGTTAACTCGGTAAAAACCTGCCAAGACGCACAAAATGAATTGAGTTTTAGTTTTTTTTACTCAAAAATAAATAGTGCTTACGATGTTCTTACCAGTTTGCTGTTTGTTGAAAATGACCCATTCATCACCGGTGCTGTTGCGGTTAATGACAGAAACAGCATCTTTGATGATATGAGTAGGCTTAGTATCTTCGAAGTCTGGGTTACTGGCCGTAGCAAACGTGATGGGAACGATCCAGTTAGTTGTAGTTGTAGAGTAACCGCTGTTGATGTTGAAGCGGCGCTATAAATGTAAAAATATAATAGGTATGTTACATGATTGTAGGTAACAATTGATGCAGGTGAATCAATTGTACAAAATAAATGTAAGATTTACCTGATAGATCATCATCTGGCCAGTTTGGTGGTCAACCTGAACGTTGAGTACTGGATGTCCGGCCTGTTCAGTCCAAGTTTTGTAATAATCAATAAAATTGAAATCGTCTCCGTACTCCGAAATAGCACCAGAAGCCTCAGCCTCGGTTTGAAGAGCTTCGAAGAGATGAATGGGCAGTGCAGTGTCGAAAGATCTACGAGTAAAATCAATATTTTTTTTATAACCGCTCACATGCACACTGCACATAATAATAATTAGGCAAAACGTTTTACAGTTACCTTTCAGTCAAGTAGCGCCTTAATCCTTCTCTATGAACATCAAATCCTAAAAGATGCTCAGTCTGCCTGATAATTGCAGCACCTTTGTTGTAACTGATCGTCGAGAACATACTCCTGACTTCAGTGGGACTATTAATGCCAGTGGCAGTTAATGGATGAGGATTATTAGCGGAGTCAGTGAGCAATGAAGTGTGTACTTGCTCGTTGACAAAACGAATTCCAAGACCCATATACTCTTCAACCTAGTTTCAAAACACAATAATTAGAAGTTATCTTAATAATCAAATGATTGTTTTCTAAAATATTGCATACCCAATCTGTTAAGTAATATTGGTAATATCTGGCGAATCCTTCGTTGAGCCACAACACGTCCCACCAATCGCAAGTGACGAGATTACCAAACCACATGTGGGCGATTTCGTGGGATAAGATGTAAGCGATTCGTTGTAGGAAGTGGCCGTCTGTGTGATCTTGATCGTACATAAGGTAAGCTTCTCTGTAAATGAAGGACTAGTTAGTGGCTAAGATACGATAAACGATTTTTTTATTTTTCCAAATTCAAATGTTTTTTTTTTCTTTAATTGCATTCTTCAGTTACTAAAGATTTTTCGGCAACAGTTCTGAATGAAAGAACCATAACATGAAATTTTACAAGTCTTATGACAAACGTCCCGACTGATTTTTTTTTATAATGATGCCATAACTTTACCTATAAGTTAACAGTCCCCAGTTCTCCATAGCCCCATCAAAGAAATCAGGAATGGAAGCCTGTGTCATCTTCATGTTAGGGTGAACGCTGTAATAGTCGATGGCTGTGTGATTGCTCATTTCAGCCAAAAGATACTGTCCAACTTCCAGCGCATACTCTCCTTGATTAGCGTTAATGGCGTTGGGCCGAGCGATAACTTCATAGAGAAGATTGCCATTCACATCAAACACCTCGCGTGTTTCATACTCAGCCACTATTATTGCCAGAAGATATGTAGACACTACTGGTGTAGTATAGAATTCGTCTTCTTCGTAACCACTGCAAAATAAAAAATGAAGCGATGTAGATAGAGAAACTAATTATTATAACCGACGACAGACTTAATAATAGTAGCTTATTTTATTTATAGAGCACTGACTCATCATAGTTAAGCTCTAGAAGTCCACTGTTGGACTTTAATGCCCTTTACATCGAACAAAATAGATCATGCAATCTTGTCGTGGATTTCTGCAATCTTTTTAGTTCGGTTCGGTTGTCGTTCGCGGTCGTTACTCAAGAGATTCCCTTTATTAGACTGTCTAATGCCACTACAACTTAGAAAGCAAATTATACGCCATAGAAATCTTTTTTACTCTTACTCAAATGTGCTATTTCTGGTCTGCTGAAGCCTCATGCCTGACCAACTGGTAAAGGTGGAGGGTCTCCTGACAGTGATGCTGAAGGTAGCCTTGAAGCTGGGCTCGTCATAGCACGGGAACGCCAGGCGTGCAGAAGTCGCTTGAAACTGGGTTGAAGCCATCCAGCTAACCGATCAACAAATAAAGTATTGAAGCACTTAAGCCCAGAACAGACAGTAAAACGCAACTGCAACGAAACTGCAACTATGTGATGATTCTGATGAATGAAATTAAAACTGAAAGTTTCAAACTGGTCGCGTCATGTGTGGTCTCTCAATGGACGCTATGGCAGAAACTGCAACTCAAAAGTAACTAGCAGTTGCAGTTTCGTTGCAGTTGCGTTTCACCGTCTGTTCTGGGCCTTACACGAATAGATAACAAAATAAAAGAATTTCGGAATATACCTCTCTGCATCACTGGCGTTGTTCCTATACCAATTCTGGTAAATTCCGTACATATCAGTCCTCAAAGGAGCATTGAAGACGATGTTCAGTGAATAGACAACTCTACTCGTTGCATTATATTGAAGGGCGCCGTTTGTGAGCGTGATCCTTAAGAAATGATATTCTGGCTGCAAGACGAATGTTTGTGGTATCTCAGTGTCCTCAAGTTTTAGCACAAGCGATGTAATGTTCAGGTCGTGAGCATGGATGACTATTTCGTTAACATCTGCTTGAGTGGCGTACAGTTGGATTTCGACCTCTCCCGAGAAGATATTTGCTGGTATTTCAACCATCCACAAGATGTTGTAGTGTTCTGGTTTGGTCGTAGTGGGTAATCGGTAGGGGCTAATCGTATCATCGGATCTAGACAGTTGAGATAAGCGATCGAAATCATCTAAATTCTCGAAAGGTTCACCTTCAAGTTTTTCATCCCCGAAGATGGTGTTTCTGTATGGGGGAGGATCTTGTGGGAATGCGTGAGCTGCGATGCATACAGCGGCCAATATTATTAAATTGAGCGTTGCCATCTGTAAATAATTTCATATTTATTATTGTAACCTTAACCCTATGTAATGTAGTTCGTCCAGTATGCCTACAAGTTCTCCTAATGTTCAAGCTTTATAGCCTCCATGATAATCTTTTATTATTTCATTGCACTTGAATAATTTTTTTATCTTAATTGTCGTGTATAAATGTTTTATCGTAATCCAAGAGTTCAATCTAATAATTTGCGGGTGTGGGCAGTTCACTATAAAGATGGCTTGTCGGCAAGATAATAATACACTTTAGGTAGGTATTTTTAATCAAATCAAACTGTCCTAAGATCTAAGCGTATCTTGATAACGGTGGTCTGAAAAAGTAGTGACTACTTATTAGGAAATCTGATCTGATCTAATATTAGGCAATAATTTAAATTTTTAACTTGGCCTTTAATTTTTTGAAAATTATATGTGCTGAATTCTATTATAAACTGGTAGTCATAACTACCTATAAATGAATAATCGCAGGTCTGATCATTGTGGAGTGCAAACTGACGATTTTAAACTTAACAGTTATGATGACCACCAGCGACTGACAGGGCCTTACTAAACGACCTTACGCAATCCTGGTGAGTGCTACTGATTCAGCGCTTACCAAATGGCGCTACTGTCTTAACCACTAAACGAGTGTCAGGAGCTTTCGCTACCACCACTACCACCACCATCTTAGCCATAGGACGTTCACTGCTGAACATAGGAACAACTGGAAGCTCTTGGCCTGTATCTCACCTGATGGTAAGTGATGATCAGGCCGTTTCTTTCGCTACGCCCTGCTCTAACTGGTGAAAGCAAATACAATAGCCCTAATTCCTTGGGGAACCGCCTGATGATCATCTTTCGGTTATAAAGAAGAAAAATACGCTATCGGAACTATTCCCACCTCTCGTTCTCACCGCTACAACTGTGTAGCCAGGATCGACAGCTTGACTGCCAATAAAAACCCAACCAGTGAAGGCCAAACCTGTCCCGAGTGAAAGTTAAACTGTCGTTGGACCCGCAACGAGATAAATCAGAAGAACATAGGAATTAGGAGTTCGAAGTCGCGGGAGGAGCCTGGATGCGGGCAGCGCAGGACCGTTCATTGTGGAAAACCTTGGAGGAGGCCTTTGTCCAGCCAGTGGACGTAATTCGGCTGAAACGAACGATAAAGTACGCTGTCGCTTTAAGGAATTACACTGCCTACAGACTCACCATTATTGTAGGTGACAGCACGCCCGCCCAACCACGACTGGACGGCAATTAAGTGAACCTTTGGCTATATCTGATTACCCTAGACCAGAGCGGCTGAATCATCACTTTATCTTATTGCATTAAAGATAAAGATAAAAACCTGTAAATCTAATAAAAATATAATATCTAACGGATTATGGGTTAGTACACATTTTTTTTTAAAAATAAGCTCGTATTTACCTCGTAGTTATAGATGAGAGTGGATTGGGACTGGTATAAGTAGGTACTTCACCATCGATTTTACCTATATGTATTATGAAGTAAGGTATTGTTATTAATAACTAATAATAACGTCTCTTTCCATTGATCAAAATTATTACTGTTGAGACTACTTTCTTCTGCCTCTACCTACACCCCACAGTCGGGCATATGCATAGACGAACACCCGTATTCACAAACATTACTATGAGGTTTCCCAGTGCGCGTCGACGACGCACAGGATGACACATGAACCAATCACAGAGCTCCATTCGACGCTGTGCGTTCGATTTACTAATTCACTAAAGCAAGCATTGTTTGTAAATACGGACGTTACTTTGTTTCTTTTTTGTTGAATCCAGGTTCATTTGCCATGTTTCAGTGAACTTCTCTTTTTATAATTTACTAGCTTTCCGCCCGCGGCTTCGCCCGCGTGGTTTGTTATTCCATGTCTGATTCTTTTTTGTTATACCACGTTTTATAGTGACTGACGTTTCATGTCAAATCACACGGGAATGCTGTCGAACGGGATAAAAAGTATCCTATGTCCTTCTCCTGGCTCTAAACTACCTTCCTGACAATTTTCAGCTAAATCGGTTTAGCCGTTCTTGAGTTTTAAGTGGAGTAACTAACACGACTTTTTTTTATATATATAGAATACGGGGTGATTTGAAATTGGATAATAATATTGAAATAAAAACTATTTTCTTAAAAACATACTCCATTTATTAGGAAAATTGTTATAAATATGCCACTCTTTGAACGCCATGTGAGCAATCAAATCATTTATAGCCCACAGGAGTTCAAAGACACGAGTAAAATGTTAGCGTAAATATGTACATAATTTTACTAATTAAATTTCAATCATATTAAAGGGTTATCTAGTACTTAGGTACAGAAACATTTGCATTTTAAAAATTATCAGATCCCTAATTCTATGTTTATGTTTAAGAAACAAAAATTGTACTAAAATACATTGTACATTATTAAACAAACATTATGTACTTTAATTAAATTAAAAGAAATACAATGGTTCTTCGTGATAGAGACATATTTTTGAAAATTTGATTGATTGACACTTAAAACATGGTGTGACAATATAAACACTTAGAAAATGATTTGGATCTAGAGAACTTAAAGTAACCTTAATTAATAACATCTACTTACAAACTAAATTAATTTAATTATCATGTAATTCAATGAATAACTATCCTTTTGCTAATTGAGTGAACACAAAATCATTGCTGACTTTCGTATTATTCAAAATGGCTACTGAACTCATTTAACCTGTGTCAGAACTCTTATGGGAAACCATTTTATTTTGGAAGAAATATTATGAACGAAAAATAATCATGATTAAAATTCATATTTACTCGTAATGGGGAACACTTTTACATTTTACAATATTGCTGAATATAATAAAAGTTGTAAGTTACAATGAGCATAGTCGCCATTTTAAATAATCCAGGTAACGATATCGTCACCCTGTATAAACAAAAATTGTACAAAAGAGATTGTATTATCAAAAAGTTTTTATAGTAGTCGCGTGTCGCTATTCAAGATAACTCGATTAGACCGAATAATTACGACTATCCTATCACTTTGGTATTTATTTCGATTTAACGACTAAACTAATCCAGTTTTAAAGTGACTAGTGGGTTTTATAGATGCTCTATAGCTTCACAAGTCCAACATTCGATTACCAAATAAACAATACGTACGACAAATCCATTATAAATTAGCTACATTAAAAAAATAGATGCTACATGTTTACAAAAGTAGTCTGGTCAAGCATTTGTTACTTCTTAATTGAAGACATCAAAAACAAAAGAATATTGTGTATGAGTTTTATCCTGATTCACCGCATCATAACTCAAATATAGATGAATCTTGATTCATTCTGATAATGAAATCCGATTTGTTCTAGATTTTAGAATCCACGTGAGACTCATTTTAAATATTTCCATACTGAAATAGTGTAACAGCATTAAAAATATTCGCTTTAAAAAAGTGCTAACCATAATCTCCAGAAGCGAATGTGCTTAAGCTAAACCGTTTATGTCTAAAGTTCTTCCAGGTCACCAGGTCTTCTCCTGGTCAGCTGCCAGGAGCCAGTCGACTATGACCTGGTAGTTGTTCTGCATCCATTGCACGTTGGCTGCTGTGCTTTCTAACACCTGCGATACTGGCCGACCGAGCTCTGTGCACGATTCTGATATGAATCTTAAGAGCTGGAAAGAGGATGAAAATAGAAAAATTAATCGATTATTTAGGGATTGTTTTGTATGAATACTTCTTATATTAACTTTTGTAACCAATCACCAAAAATTCCAGGGTACAAAATATGAATTTGACGTCTCTAACTGGTGAAGTTTGTAGGATGGCAAAGGATTGATGGATTTATGTTGTACTTTCACGTAAAAGCAAGAACTACTTAACAGATTTTTATGAATATTTACAGTATATTGCTTGTACATCAAAATAACATAGTTATGGGCTACAAGTCATAACGATAATGAAATTGATTAGCCAAATTACTACGAATAGTGTCAAGTAGGTAAATCTATCTCTGATCAACTGAATTTCATGCGGGCAAAGCCGCGGGCTAGAGTTTGGACCATATGGGAATTCGGAAACTCCCGTTTTCACATCGCAAAAAAGTGGTCTTTACTACTACCCTATGCTTATTGAGAAAAACTTTAAACAAAGTCTTACCTCGTCGTATTCGTGTTGTTGATTCAACCTTCGCGTCACCACTTTCACGATGGTGTTCAGCGTTAGAGCAGAGTTCACACTGTTAAAGACAAAAGGGGTTATTGTTAAGGATAAAAAATACTTATCATAATTAATTTTATTGTTGTTTTGAATTTACAATTCCTTGGAAATATGTTTACAACTTTATGATAGCCTGAAATTAATTTTATACCTATACGGTGCTTCCCCTTAAGCCCCGGAACTTCAGAAATTAAAATATTAGCGATTTTTTGTCGGCTGATAGTTTAATCGTGCCGTTAATCAGTATGAACAAGTAAGTACTAAATCAGTGCAATGTGAGTACTTATGTAAGTAGGTCACATTTAGTATCGGCCGATTCTTCATTACAAATCAAAAGCCTGCCAAACTATTGTCCGATAAAAAGTTTATAGTTTATCAGGATTAAACTTACTAATTCTTAATCCTCTGCCAGTTGGCTCGCACGAAGTTGAAGGCTATGGGTTGTCCGATTGCTGAACTGGCTACAGCTGAGAACACTCTCACTGTGTCCTGCTTCCGAATACCGCTGTCGTTCCTCAATGAGAGCTCGAGGTACCTGCAAACAGGAGTGATTTTATATCTTTAAAAGGTACAGCCATAGCAGTTTAAAATCCTATGCAGTCATACTAAATAATAGAGTCACGAGCTTTCAAAAATCGATTTAATCAAATGGGTCGTATTTTTTTTTATTTTTGAGAAATAAATTATTGATAAACTTAGTAAAAAACCTTAAGAAAAAAACCAAACCTTCCGATATTATAGCAAGTGTAACCCTCAGCAACACCCACCTGGATGCCCGTGGTCTTGTGGACACGGACGTGGACATTGGAACAAAATAATACCACCACACTCACCGGTACAGCAAGTAAGGAGCCCGCGTACAGAATAGTACAGTCAACAATAGCTCTCTCGCCGGCGCGCTGGCCAGTCGGAACCGCTCCAGTACACAGTACTGCATGAGTCTAAACAAGTAGCCAAAGACTTACTGTACCGGTAAGTCCACGTACGTACAGCAAGTAAGGAGCCCGCGTACAACCGAGCACAGTCAACAACAGCTCTCTCTCCGCCGGTGCACTGGTCACTCGGAACCACTCCAGTACACGGTACTACATAAGTCTAAACAAGTAGCCACAGACTTACCGGTACAGCAAGTAAGGAGCCCGCGTACAGCCCAGCACAGTCAACAACAGCTCTCTCTCCGCCGGTGCACTGGCCACTCGGAACCGCTCCAGTACACGGTACTACATGAGTCTAAACAAGTAGCCACAGACTTACCGGTACAGCAAGTAAGGAGCCCGCGTACAGCCCAGTACAGTCAACAACAGCTCTCTCTCCGCCGGTGCGCTGGCCACTCGGAACCGTTCCCAAGCGAAACGCCACTCTCGCGCACCGCCCGCTTGGATACCCACACAGTATACAGTACTGCGGACGTCGGCATGGATACTAGAACAAGGAAATGCTTTACAAACTGCCAGATCCTATTGTTAACAAAGTAGACTATAGTAGAGCTGTAATTCTACTACTTATGAAGACACTGACCGTCGTAATACGAAAATTCCAGCCAACTTCCAGTCAGAAGTCAGTCAAGTGTCACGTGACCGCTGTCTGGCTGGCCCTAGGGGATCCTAATACGGAAACGCAAGGCAGTTTAGTTTAAGGCGTACACTGACTGGAATTAAGAGATCGTAATAGGCCTGCAGAACTACCTATTCAGCATTCGCATCAGTTGTGTAATTGAATCTCAGCGCAAGTTCAAACCGCAATATTAAATTGTGCTAAATGAGATTATGAAAAACATTTTAGCATTGACAGGCGGTTTTGATTTTGACTTAAGTTTCCTCAACTTCACTCCTTTGAAGAACGTGATTAACTAATTCTGTAGCAAAAAAAAATCTGTGTCAAAAAGAGTTCAAGAGTCGGAGTCAAAATAAAAGAAACTAAGACTCTTAGTTTCTTTTATTTTGTCTAAGAGTTCATTAACTTACTCGTTGTACGCATCAGGGTTAGGCGTGAGCATCCAGTTGGTGTACATCCTGACGGCATGCTCCATGCAGTCCACATGCTCCAGGTGACAGGCCGTGGACAGCAGATCGGCTCTTTGCTGGGCCCGCACCACGCTCTCGTTGGCTGACACCTCCCAGCCGAGGTCTTTGACCGCACCGTCGAGGAGGCGGAGCACGTATCGCTGTGAACATCATCATCAGCTAGATCAATTACGCCCTTATATACAAACATTACATGAGGTCTCACAGTGCGCGTGGACGCACAGGGTGACACACGAACCAATCACAGAGCTCTATTCAACGCTGTGCGTTCGATTTGCTGCTTTACTTAAGCAAGTATCGTTTATGAATACGCGCGTTAGTCTCAATTGCAGAAAGACGTCCCTCTCTACCAAAGGCAACGGATTTTGTTCAAAGTCAAAATTTCTTTATTTGTTTGGACTAATAAATAGTTCTTACAAATCGTCATTTTGCTCTTAAGGAGCCTCTACATGTCTCATAATCTTTTTACCCTACCACCTGTTGGGGCGGCCTGATCATCATATATGAGTATTTCTTTCTCCCTTAGTTGCCTCTTACAGTATCCACGGGAAGAGTTGGGCCTATTCAACTTTACTGGAACCACATGGCTGACATTTAGTAGGTACTTAAAATATCATCACTTCATTATTATGGCATACTTCCCCAACTTAATTACATACTCGAGTAATCAGCATTATTCATCAATAATAATTTGATAACTCACACTATTATCTTCAAAATACTAACGTAAAATTAGATTAGATTTGTTCTCTATCACAAATTATCTACATTTTAATCAGGATGATGATGTCTGTAAATTATATCGCAGACTTTAACGAAAAGGCGACAATGTAGCCCAACTGTTTTGGCATTTGGCACTTGTTCAATCTCTGTCGAACATTTAGTTTAGTGAACCAACAACCAACAAAAGCAATTGAATAAAGTCATCAAGATTTTATCAAAACCAACCTTATACTCCAAGTAATAAGCTCCTTTCGACAGCATCATATCAATATACCCCAAAGCCACCAAACCAGCCTTCCAGGGCACATAGCTTCTCTCATGAGTGAGGTAGCTGGTGATGTCCAGAGCAGTTCTGTAGTCCAATCGGCCAGCCAAAGCCAGGTTCATAGCATCGTCCACAATCTGGGCTCTGTTGATGGGGTGGATCTCTTGGAATCGAGAGGGGTTGTTGAGGACCTCGACTAGCATCTTCCAGTTGCGACTATCATAGTTTATTCGATAGAAACCTGTGAAAATTAATGGTGGAAATGATAAACTTAAGTAGTACTAATCGCATCCTACTAATATTCTAAATGCGTTAGTTTGGATGTCTGGATGGATGTATGTTTGTTACTCTTTCACCCAAAAACTACTGAACGGATTTTTATGAAACTTTACAGTATTATTGTTTATAACCCAAAATAACATATAGGCTATAATTTATGATGTTCTGTGACAAACTAAATTTCACACGGGTGAAGCCGCCGGCAAAAGCTAGTTAGAAATAGTTTCGAGATATGGTAACCATTTAAAAAAATGCTGCTGATATAAAACTGAACTGACTCAAGCATGAGTCATCTCATTATAGTTCCAATATATTTAAAAAGTAAAAAAACTATTTTAAAACCCCTGGAACTAATATTATTTAAGGCGACATAAATCATGGTTATGGAAAAAATAACTGAACTCTATTCTAACTTAACGAAATTCCTTAGGTCTTATACCATAAGAGGTGGTAATATACTGACCTGTCTGCTGAATATTGGCTATCAACCACTCGTCCTTCCCAGCCGATATGTTCTTGACCTCGATCGCCCTCTCTCCCCTCAGCCAGACCCGTGGCCTGGTGGACTTGAAGTCCTTCTCCGAAGCAGTGGTGTAAGACACCGGTATCCACCACACGGGAGACGTCTGATTGTCCGCCGTGTTGTTGATGAGAACGAAGCGCTCCTAGAAGATAATGAAAGAATTGAAAATTAGTGAGATTTTAACCAAACTAAATTGCCATTGAAATAATAAGAAGAACATACAGTGTGAGTCACGTTTTAAAGTGTACATATGAAAATAGATGAAACAAGACCTATTTTTATCGACAAAAAAGAGGTCAAAATTTTTTTGAGATTTTTTTTAAATTTTTTATAGATTTTTTTTTCTTCCAATTACTTATTGTAAAGAAAACGTAATAACTTTTAAACTAAGCGGTGTATCCTGATAAAGTAAAAACAGTAATAATGCTAAATAACAGGCGATACTAAAAAAATACATAAAATATACAAAAAATGCCAACAAATAATAAAAAATTATACTTTTTGAAAAAAATCTGCTTTTAAATTCGTGTTTTTTTGGTTATTTGATCAATTTCTCCAAAAAATGCCCCTATAACAGGTGGTTTTTATTACTTTTTATTATTCTCTATCGTATTATCTTTGTAAAACCAAAAATCGCATGTCTCTATCCCTATCACAACATTTGCTATGAACGTTTGAACAAAGGCCTGCCACAACATTATTCTCCGCTACAGGTAGAGACAATTTTAATTTTAACTAAAATGCTTAATTTACTTCGAAATTTTTTGTTTTTATTTGAAATCCAACTTGTCTTTATCAAACTTACAAATCGAGAGCCATTTTCAGTTTCGTTCATAACAATGCTTTGAATGGCGCGCCCGGAGAGGCTTAGTTCAAACGATCATTGCAAACGTTGTGATAGGGATAGAGACATGCGATTTTTGGTTTTACAAAGGTAATACGATAGAGAATAATATAAAGTAATAAAAACCACCGGATATAGGGGCATTTTTGGAGAAATTTATCAAATAACCAAAAAAACACGAATTTTAAAGCAGATTTTTTTCAAAAAGTATCATTTTTTATTATTTGTTGGCCTTTTTTGTGTATTTTATGTATTTTTTTAGTATCGCCTGTTATTTAGCATTATTACTGTTTTTATTTTATTAGGATATACCGCTTAGTTTAAAAGTTATTACGTTTTCTTTACTATAAGTAATTGGAAGAAAAAAAAATCTATAAAAAATTTAAAAAAAATCTCAAAATTTTTTGACCTCTATTTTGTCGATAAAAATAGGTCTAGTTTCATCTATTTTCATATGTACACTTTAACGTGACTCACACTGTATAGGTTTAACAATAGGTGACCATTCTAGGGTCTAAGTAGCTACAATTAGTAGTTGCGAGGAACTATAATATGCCATGTACTGTAAGATCATTCCACAAAAAGTTTACGAGTGTAAAAATAACTGCAATTAATCATCAACATTATAATCGTCCTTAATCTCTGTTAAGCATAGCTAATTAAAACAACTGATCAATCAATATTGGATTCATTCCTAATTTGACAATGATAGTTATTGTGGATTTATGAAGAACAGCATTGTCAAGACTAGGCAAAATAATACCACCTCGTCAATTGGGATGATGATGATGACTGGGTAATTAAATCGAAATTCTATTTTGTCCGTCAGACAGATAATAAAAAAATGGAAACGTATTTTTTTTTTTCATAATCGAATAATGACAGTATTATTTGAGTTGAAAAGTCGCGTGTCGTCGCTTTTGAGTAAAAAATCTATATAGGCGTGACGTAACGCGCCATTTCAACTCGATGTAGCACTGTTATTATTTAATTATGAAAGAAAATAAAAAATACCTAGCTACGTGTCTAATATTTTCTAATTGTCTGTCTGACAGACAAAATAATTGAAAGTCATCTAGCCTGTCAGAGGTACTGACCTGTCTTAAAGATACGACTCCACTGTCGTAATCCCTCGTAATGGTTAGGACTGGGAAACCAGTCTGCAAAGTCCAGGAGTCCATGATGACGGCTACATCGGCGTCCAAAGCGCCCCTCTGGTGGGCGGCGTTGGTGAGAGCGCTCCAGAGGTCTCTCTGTTCCGCATCACCATACTTCTTCGCGTTGAGGTAGTCCGTGATCCCGGAGTTGAAGACGTCGTCGGTGAGGAAATGGTTCATCATGCGGAGGATGGCGGAGCCTGTGAGTCACAGTTGTAATACTTAGTGTTAGTGGCCATAATGAGTGCCCTGAGTCCCCGAACAACTGCACGCAGGAGAATTTAATGAAGTCTACTGACAATGCCACTCTTGTAGCGGAGTTTTGGGCTGACACTGTGTAGGTTTGTTGTCGACACGATAAAAGGAAGAAGTGGCTATAATTCGATTACAAGGAGATAAAAACAATCGATATGATGATCCGCAGATTTTTGCAACATCTCAAGTAAAGCTATCGGCGTGACAAAGTTTAACGCCAAAATGTGGCGTACACTTACATTAAAAAAAACTATTTGTAGTTGAATACATAGGGATCTATGTCTTGAATTGGTAAACTTTTTTCTTTTTTTTTTATGTGACAGGAGGCAAACGAGCAGACGGATCACCTGATGGTAAGTGATTACCGTCGCCCATAGACACCCGCATAAACTCATGAATATTCGGTTACCGGAAGACTGCTATAACACTGTTTTTACTTTGACCCTTTGAATGTTGTGAGAAAAATATATTTTTCATTGATTTCGAACCTTATTCAATCTCAATAAAGATCATTATAGTTACGATGTCAACAATTCAGTCACAACCAGTAAAAGATTTAAGACAGTGTGGTTATGTTTACCTTTCCCATAAGAGATCTTGTCAAATATGGCCCCGATCTCCTCAGGGTTGCCGACTTCTACCGAGATCTGGTGGGAGGACGTCAAAGCGTCCAGTTTGAAGACGCTCTGCACCTCATTCAGGACGAACACCTCCATCGACTCCCATGTTTTCTCCACCTGTATAAGAAAAGAAAACATATTTTTACTAACACTGTCTATGGAAGTTAGATACATCCCGTAGGAAAAGTGGTTTAAGGCACAATTCACAATACGATTATATTAATACACGTATTTTAACACAAGAATTGAAATCTACTAATCATCATTATCTTTTTAAATAATCTCCGTGTTTAATTTTACTCACGCTTCACCATTTTTTACGATACCAAAGTGTGAGAACTAACGCCATTGAAGACATTCGCTACCGACAAGATGGCTTTCTTTTCCTTGTGAACAAATTATGTCATAACCACCGGTTGAGTAAGTGTTACTAGTAATTAAGTAATGCATGTTTTATCTTGGTTCTATTGTTAAAAACAACAACATTGTCGGCATACAAGTTAAGTTACGCGACCCCGCGAAATGTCATGGTAGACAGTTGATTGCTCGCTCTGCGATGCTACAAAAAGTGGTGTCTTAGACCCAGAACAGACGGTGTAACGAAACTTTCAAACTGGTCGCGTCATGTGTGGTCTCTCAACGGACGCTATGGCAGAAACTTGGATGCAACTCAAAAGTAACTAGCAGTTGCAGTTTCGTTGCAGTTTCGTTGCAGTTTCGTTTCACCGTCTGTTCTGGGCCTTAAATAACCCTTTTGTAAGAAACAAACAACTGAATAATTTACGAGTAAGAATTGTAAATACACGAGTAGATATAGGAAGGCTGGAATAGGCTACTTAAGCCGATGAAAATCAGAAACCGTAATTAATCGATTTAATACGAGTATATGTAACTGAAACTTTATTATTCGGAGAGCTGTACTCGTCTTTACCATGAACGTGGGAGCTATAAAGTTGCCACAACCGCTCTGCTAAAAGTTAAACGACAGACAGGTAGGAATAGATATTGAGAGAGAGAAAGAGCAGGAGAGATATAAAGAGAGAGAGAGAGAGAGAAAGAGAAAACATAATACTTACGGCATCTACAGCTACGTACTCCACGTAGCTAGCGAAGCCCTCATTGAGCCAGATATCAGACCATCAGGCTGGGGCGGGGTCACCAGGTTGCCGAACCACTGGTGCGCGATCTCGTGTGCCACCACAGAGTGACGGAGATAGCAAGAGAGAGTGAAACTTACGGCATCCACAGCTACGTACTCCACGTAGCTAGCGAAGCCTTCGTTGAGCCAGATGTCGGACCACCAAGCCGGGGTCACCAGGTTGCCGAACCACTGGTGCGCGATCTCGTGAGCCACCACAGAGTGAGGGAGATAGCAAAAGAGAGAGAAAGACAGTGCGAAACTTACGGCATCCACAGCTACGTACTCCACGTAGCATAGCGCGATTTTATATGCCATCACAGAGTGAGGAAACTAACAAGAAAGAGAGCAAAACTTACGGCATCCACAGCTACGTACTCCACGTAGCTAGCGAAGCCCTCGTTGAGCCAGATGTCGGACCACCAGGCCGGGGTCACCAGGTTGCCGAACCACTGGTGCGCGATCTCGTGTGCCATTACAGAGTGAGGGAGATAGCAAGAGAGAGAAAAACTTACGGCATCCACAGCTACGTACTCCACGTAGCTAGCGAAGCCTTCATTGAGCCAGATGTCGGACCACCAGGCCGGGGTCACCAGGTTGCCGAACCACTGGTGAGCGATCTCGAGTGCCATCACAGAGTGAGGGAGATAGTAAGAGAGAGAGAGAGACTTACGGCATCCACAGCTACGTACTCCACGTAGCTAGCGAAGCCCTCATTGAGCCAGATGTCAGACCACCAGGCCGGGGTCACCAGGTTGCCGAACCACTGGTGCGCGATCTCGTGAGCCACTACTGCAGCCACGCGCGCCTTGGCCGTTGTAGGGTAAATGTTGTTGTCGTACAACATTGCTATTTCTCTGTGGAAGGAGATTGAAGTTTCCAGATTAAGCACTGATCGGAAAGCAATTCTATAACTATTCATTTAAACAATAACTTCACATACAAATCGCTAAACAAATATTGATGAATTTTGATATAAAGAAAGTGATGACACTTAGGAAAAGGACACAGATAAGCTACCCTATTCTCAAGATTGGATAAATGGAAGAGAGGGGCTCTAAATTGTGTTGTGTTGTGTATGGAAAACCCATACTTAGTTGTAAATATTTTTGTGATCATAAGCTTAGTAATCAACAAAATGTTTTCGGGTTAAATAATTAATTTACTAATCTTTTATTTTATGCTAGACAAGGCAGGTATTTGACCACAATCGCACCTGGTGTTAAGTGAGACGCAGTCTAGGATGGTACATATCTGCCCTGTAATCCCATCTAGTCTGTTATTAGCTATTAAAAACAAGACCTCGAAGATCAATCAAAGCTAAATTAGCTAATAAACACCCTACATATGCCTACGTAATTGGGTAAAAACGCAATTTGAACGGGTGGCATGCGACCCAATCTCGGGCGATTGAGTCACCCCGTCCGAGGGAAGATAGATGGGCCCGCTCCGCCACTAATGAAGTGTCACCACTCGACACAAGGGTGGCCAAGACGTTTGATTACACTCGGACATGGTCAAGGTTGTACAAAATACGTACGAAGTCAAGAAGACCCAACATCATCTATACTTCTATACTAATATCTATACTAATATTATAAATGCGAAAGTAACTCTGTCTGTCTGTCTGTCTTGCTTTCACGCCTAAACCACTCAACCGATTTTGATAAAATTTGGCAGAGATAGTTTGAGTCCCAGAAAGGACATAGGATAGTTTTTATCCCGGTTTTGAAACAGGGACGCGAGCGATGAAGTTTTTCTGTGACAGACAAAATTCCACGCGGGCGAAGCCGCGGGCGGAAAGCTAGTTGTCAAATACGTGTGAAGTCACATTTCAGACTTTTTTGGAAGAGTTCAATTTCATATGATTATATTTTCAAAGTAACTTTGTTAGTTGTTCACTTTTATTAGTTTTAATTTTCTTTAACATTTTATTTAGAGGCCAATAATCAGTTTATACACTTTACAAAAAGTAAGTAGGTAGGTATCCACTCAATATTCTGAAAGAGTTTAAGTGCCCCTATATCCACAAATGACTAGTTAGATTATAAAATCAATCGATGTCTTCGGTAATCTAATATCGCAAAAGTTTTCATACATCGACTCTATCTATTCCTCTTACTCATATCAACATTTCAAGGTGAGTGAAAAAGTCGGATATAGTCTAGCAAACGAAATGAGGACCCTCAACCAGAATCAATTAGTTGCGGTTAACCGTTGGACATGGAAACCGTGGTTTCAGTGGAGATCACTTTTCAATCGATAGGAGTTTTATGTAGGTCATGGTATGAAAAGGTATCGTAGTTAGAAGTTCATAGTTTCTTACTTTTAACTTTTATCATTGCAACAACGTATTCATTTATTATGTAGCTTAAAACTTGACAAACAAGGACTTATCAATGCAATCGTTCAAAGTTTTATTTGGTAAAAATATAAGAATTGAAACCGAAGGAACTAAATAAATCTCAAATTAGTGATTCTTTGTAAACATGTTTTCGTTCTACCTTATTTTTCATCTAAAATTTTCATTCGGCTGTCGTAATAAAAATATAAGTTGAACTGTTTGTTTCTCAGTGGATATTTGGCTCTATGTTCAGGAGTTTGTTAGAGCCAAGCGAGCGGTTTGGCCCAGTTAGGATGATCGACTGCTTTTTATTTGCGACCTATGAAATGTTTACATTTAGCGACCGAATTTTATATCATTGGATACGACAGATCGGATGGCAATAAATTAAGGACTATCCTATCCATATCGGATAGCAATAAATTACTCCATTATGTATATTTTATTGCCCTGTCTTTTATTGAACTTCCGATCTTCTTTTATTAATATGTTTACTATAGTTACCTACATTTTACTGACTAACTGCTGGCTTTTAAAAAAATAGTTGTCTGTTTCATGATAAAAACAAGGTTTCACACCAAGGATTTACGCATCTACCCGAATGTTCGCAGAATTAAATTGGACCAATTTATTCTCACTTTCAAATAAAAGTGTATTTATACACATACATTTTTAAGAGGATCGCGGTAAGGTAAATATAGAGGGTTCGTCCATGCAAACATTTTGGAAACATTGAGATATACTTGAATAACTTACCTAAAAGTAAGCAACCCCCAATTCTCCATAGCACCGGCCTTGAAGTCAGGCAACGCTATCATATCGATCTTTGGCAGTGGGAACTTGATCTTATAATAGACTTCCAGGAACTTCAGGATCTTCGGGCCTATGTCCAGGGCATAGGCTGCAGAGGACAGGGCCTCTTTCCTGGCCCATACAGTGAAGTTCTTGTCACTCATGCTGCCAAAGTCTGTGACGGCAAAGGCGACCAGGTAGGTCGACATCGGAAGAGATTCGGCGTAGTGGTCCCATGTGTAGTCTGGTAAGGTGGCACTGCAAAGAAGAAATAAATGTATATGTAACCAAAATACTCCTAAAATTCATGCTTAGTTCCTGAACGCGTATTGCTACGCACTCTTATAAACATTTGTATTAGTTAAAAAAACATCTTTATATTTTAAATGTTCAAATTACACACAGAGCATGGAATCGTCGCGCGCCGCCCGCCGGCGATTCCATGCTCTATGAAATTACACAATACAAAATGTTCAAAAATTATTGCAAAAAATACATTGAACAATTTGATTGATCTCGTTCGAGTAGTAAGAATGCATGGAATAGCTGCTCTTAATCTGGGTATGATAAAATAAAATCATCGTGGTAAACTTATTGCCCACAAGGTGGACTGGAAATCTGAAACTGCGTTCATCTGTGGACGTCCTATGGCAGAAATGATGATGATGATGAAACTCACTGAGGTTCTCGTTCGACGTTGTTCATATTGGACACGGAGCTCATGTTGGAGGGTCGGGCGATGCTGATGGTGAAGCGAGCCTTCAGCGCCGGCTCGTCCCAGCACGGGAACGCACGGCGGGCGTCTGTGGCTTGGAACTGGGTTACGGCTATCCATCTAGAAATTTGATTTGAAAAAAAACTTGAAATCATCATCATTATATCTTTTATTTTATTATCTTCGACTAATCTGAAAAGACGTGGCGTAATAAGTTCGCATAATATTTCAAATAAGAATATTAATTATCGAATATTTTGTCGGAAAAAATTCAAGAGAATTTACATTATTATTTTATCAACAAGGCATGTAAAGAAAAACGAAACAATAAATCAAAAAGCAACTCTCTTCAGAAAATAATAAAAAGTAAAAAAACTAAAACCCAACTACGACAAAAAACGACGCTAAAAAGTTTAAAACAAGATTTTCAGAATACTGAACTGAACAAAGTTGCTAATATAGTTGCATAGTAATTTTCATGTTTGGAAAACCGCAGTCACACGTTGTCAGTGCTACGGTAGGTAGGTACTCGTATATTATGTAACGTGTGACTACGCCTTTCCAAACATGAAAATTACTATGCAACTACATTAGCAACTTTGTTCAGTTCAGTATTCTGAAAATCTTGTTTTATACTTTTTCAGCGTCGTTTTTTGTCGTAGTTGGGTTTTAGTTTTTTTACTTTTTATTATTTGTACTATTTTGGTGATAAAGTGTATTTGTGGCGCATAATATTACCAAAAGTTAAATTGATGAACTAATAAGTAGTAAAGAAGCTATGAACGCATAGATGTGAATTATATGCAATCAGCCCATGAATACAGGTAAAGTCACAAGCAAATGCTAGTAATATATATATATATATTCAAAATGTACAAGTAAAGCGCTTTCAAATGATACCAAACACGGCATATTTATCTTAACTTTATTTTTTTACTCTCTATGTTTTGTCCGCTAGAGGGCGCCACATTAGATTTTGTGAAACCCCATGTAGCCTATAACCAGCGGACAATTAAGACGCTTCTAATGATATGTCATTTGTCGAATTCTGATAAGTAGTTTAGAAGTTACGAGGGTACACATGAACATACATACATACATACATATATAGCCTGTTAAAATCATAACCCTCCTTTTGCTTTGCCGTAGTCGGGTAAAAAAGATGCAATCGTTTTTGTTTACACATTGTTCTTGCACTTAATAACTGTAACTAAACATCCTTGCGCCGTCTCATAAGAGTTAAATAAGCAATTTGTATGCCGCATCACCAGCCATTTATCGTAGTTGCTGGACATTCCGCGTTTTGCTGACCTCCCACTCGGAATATCAACTAATGATCCATTGTACACTTAAATTGCTTTAATATTGATCCTGCGATGTTATGAGACCAGTTAGTTAACGAACGAAAATCAGAATTTCAAACTAGAATCCGTCTGGAAGTTGGACACTGTTCAAATTGTTATTTCCTTCTTATGCTGATAGAATACGTAATGCAGTCAAATGACTAACGTAATCAAGAGACCGTTTTATAGCTACTCCGTATTTGGGAAGCGTATAAAGATTTAACGTACCAATTGCTATATTAGTAGAACCTACTGATTCGTTTATGACTCAGGCGTGAGTTTAAAAAATATATTTAAGGGTACTGACCGTTCGGCTATGTAATGTAAAATTAGATTTGGTTTATACTTTAAAAATGCGAATATTTTGCTTACCTCGTCACATTTTTCTCCTCGTATGAACTTCTGTAGAAACCGTGAAGGTTATCGTTTAAGATTCCAGTGTACGTGATATTTAGCACGTACTGCCGCCCAGCCTTTAGCGTTTCGTTCAGCTCCAACACGTGGAATTGCCTTGGCACATCCTCCGTTCTCCTCACGATCCTGATGGATCTGTTGTCAGCTTTCTCAAACAAACTTATATTATGAAACGTGAGTTCAACACCATGGAAGGTCACTCGGTTGGTATCGTTTTTCACAGTTAACACTACACTAATTTCACCATCGAAAGTAAAGTTACCCTCGTAAATGTATGGAGTCAACTTGAGTTTGTATCTGTCAGGTTTGACGTTAGTTGGCAATCGCACATCAGTTATCGCGGCTTCGGCGACTTCTGTGGTTGTCAACAGAGTCGTTGTTTCTAAAGGCAGAACACTTTTACTACTTTCAGTACTAAGAGGTATCACTAAGAGTTTGGATTGGTCACAGTGGGTAAGTTCGTATTTGGTGACGTTGGCCAGCTGATCAGTTCTGGGGCAGGCCGCGAAGTTGTACACGATGAAGGAGGTGGCTACGAGGGCCAGGGCGAAGATGACGAGGATGACGAAGGCCAGGCCCTTGGAGAGGTAGACCCCTCGCTTGGTCTTCGTGGAGAAGTCGCAGGAAGGCGGGTTGCCGTCCATGATGCCGAGGGATTCGCGAGCCTGCGTCATCACATCACCGACATGTTATCTGAAAATAGAAAGTTAAATGTAACTTTTAATGGAACATATTTAATTTATTTTAATGGGATAGGACACAATTCTGCTGATGAACGCCATTTTTTAATGTATTTTGTAAGACTTTTTCATTGAATTGCGACTGATTAATCAAATGAGGAACCAATAAAAATTCTGTGGAAAAAAAGAGATATGTCATAAATATTTTATTAGCCCATACAATAAATAATGAAATTACCGTGAATTGGCTGATAACTTCCTTTTTCCTTGCCGTTCCCATTACTCAACGAGGCAATCATAATATTATTGTCGTTATGATTTCCATTTACTTCGAATAATAATATAATTTTGGTCACAAATGTTGGTCCCGGAAATTCCAGCACAATGGAGGTATGTCAATAATCTCCTACTACAAGTAACAATAAACAGTATGCCTCCAAAATCATGTAAATGTTGCCAAAACGAAACCATACGGCTCGTGAAAAAGTTGTCAGATCTCATGTAGAGCTTCTAACTTTGCACCTTAATCAAAATAATATATGTAAAAGGTAATTAAATAAATAGTGTAAAGTAATTGGCATATTGTCATTTGCATCTACTTCTATCAATTTATCTTGGGCATGTACTTAGGCAGCTCATATAACAGCAGGGTTATAAAATAAATTCTTCACTTACTTAAATTATGAAGTAAAGTAATATTCAGGAAATATCACTTACTACCTTATGACGTAAAGTTATATTCGTAGAATAGGCCTGCTGTGCCAAAAAACATTATATTTTGTGACATCGAATTCATTTTAGTTGGAAAAGTTATTCTCATAACAATGCTCGTGTAACTTCGTACTATCACGCGAAGATGGAAGAATGAATTCATGTGTTAACGGTCTTGTCACACAATATCCTCGGTTTTGTTTGGGAAAATGACCCCTAAGTTCTACGTCGTAGGGATAGTTTGATTATAGCGTTATACAGGGTAAAAAATGATTGGCATCCTTTTAACAAAAGACTCTACTCATGATACATAGTACATTAAAATATGAGACAAATCCAATAAGGTTTTTTGTCTTTATTTTTATTAATTATTTGTATTATTGTGCTCATAGAAAGAGTTTAAAACGATTTTGCAATCAACAATACATCAGACTATACATTTTTGTTCCAAAATAACACGTATTACATCGAAATACAGTTAAGCGTTAAGCTTCATGTGCTGTCGTCTGTACAAGCCATTATAGCCATTTTGAGTCATTGGATTTATTTTATTTTATTTATTTTATTTGGTGCACAAAACAGGGATACAACCATAACATACAAAGCGTTTAAAGCAGGTTATACAGTATAACTTGTTGCAGCTCCAATAACAAGTGCACACAACATACAAATCGAGTTAACAATATACATAATTTGTCTCATATTTGGGGCTTGTACCTACCATGTATCATGAGAGTAGAGTCTTATTTTAAATGCCAATGATTTAAACACCCTGTATAATAAGTAAGTCGTGGATGAGTTGCGGCATCACGCTCGTCTTCTCCGACCCTATGAAGACACATCAGTGAGGGCGTCGACCTCTTAGTTATTAAGATAGATCGTAGGCAAAGATTTCATTCAGTGATGCTCTACGATCAAGATTTCTGAGAGATTTGGGATACAATGACGGTGGCGACATCATAGTTTTTGGCACAATGAACATGTAAAGTACAATAGTAGAGTCACTTGTTTGATGTTCTCAGAATAATGGCACTTAAAAGAAAAGGGCGCTCAAATGACTTTAAAAAAAATCGACTTCAAATGCGTGAACACAGATAATACCTATTCAAAAAAAAAATGATCGTTCAAATTGTATCATAATCGGCGGAGATATTGCGTATAAAAAAGTTCATCCCCAATTTTCCACCCTTGGGGGTTGTTTTTTTATTATTAAATTTAAATGAGACCACCCTTGAGGTGTTACCTATACGCCGAAAAAAGATTTGTTCAAATCGGTTCATAATTGGCGGAGTTATCGCGTAACAAACATAGAAAAAAAAACATACGGGTCGAATTGAGAACCTCCTCCTTTTTTTGAAGTCGGTTGAAAAGAAATGAGTCTTGAACCTAGATCTTCTACTGCAAAAATATTTCTTAGAACTTTCAACTTTTGGTTTCAAGTGTTCAATTACTTTATCAGTATATGAAATTGATTCATATCGAACTGTTATTGGCTCAATTTAAAAGAAAAAATAGTTAGCTGAATCCTATGCTATGATACCCAAAAATGTTTATCCTCATATTTACTATGCGTTGCAACAACAAATAGAACACTTAACTACTGGTAAAGCTGATCAATAACAAGAATAATAATAGGGCGATTGGTTCCAACACACTTCGTAAAATCGAATGGATGTGAAAAGGCGTACATTATTGGCCCCTTTTCTATTAACAATCAGCCAAATGTTACCATTCACACCCTTGGGGCAGTCCCATTGTTAGGTCCCATTGATGACAATGAATCGGATGGTAAAATGGTAAGTGTTCAAACTTCGAGTTTTGATTATATTGTTAATTTTGAGTATACGAATACGTCGGTCATAAAACAGTTAAAAGTTATCTATATATATAAAAGAAAGTCGTGTTAGTTACTCCACTTATAACTCAAGAACGGCTGAACCGATTTAGCTGAAAATTGTCAGGGAGGTAGTTTAGAGCCAGGAGAAGGACATAGGATACTTTTTATCCCGTTAGAAATTAAAAAAAAGTCTGCTTATTTATTGCCATTAGGGCGGAACAAAGTTCGCCGGGTCAGCTAGTTGGTCATAAAACAAACATAATTTAAAAGATGGCTTAAAGCCCCTATTCAATAACTGTATTGTTATTCAGAGAAATGATCGTTTTCTTTGTGAAGATAAAGATAGGGATATCTAACTTATGTACCTATAGTAAAATGTATTAAAAAAAACTATACTTTTTATTAACCTATGCATGGATTCTTTAATAGTTTAATGGATTATACCAATTTCAAACATAACGTGGCTAATATGTCTAAATTTTGCTGTTTTATTTTACCTATGAAATCTTCATCAAATAACTATCGCTGTCAATACATAATATCTAAGCACTAGGTACTAACCGTGACCAAACCCTTCTGGGTGGCTTTAAAGTTAAGTATACTAAAACTCAGTAAATTCATTCAAGAACACGTCTACCCCTTCAGCTATCGGTTTTACGGCTCGTCGTCCAATATCACATCAAATTCCTTATCCTTTAAACTATATTGACTACTTTATTTCTTTTTTAGGATTATTTTATTCCAATGTCTTAAACCCTTGTTTTGTCTCCTGTCATCCGCTTTGCACTGGAGAGAAGTCGAACCTTAACTTTGAACTCCTAACTCCTAAGTTCTTCTGATTAAGTACGTTGCGGGTCCAATGACAGTTTAACTTTTCCCCGGGACAAACTTGACCTTCACTGGTTGGGATTTTTTGGCGGTCAAGCGTAGATCCTGGCTACACAGGAGTTGCAACTATGGGAACGAGAGGTGGGAATAGTCCCGTTGTCATAATCTTAGTCTTCAGTACCTGCAGTATGTATTGCGAATCCGACTACACTTAGCCAATTCACGCCAACAATTGTCAGACGAGATATTTGGTGACACTGGCTATTGTTGACGCCCATTGTAGACTTGTAAGTAAATTGCTAGGACACTTTATGCAACAGACGACCTTATTTCTTATGAGATACGTCATACTTTATGGTTTTGTATTTAAAACGTTTGTATTTTCCCCTGTAGTAATAACAAAATTGCAGAAAACAATTACAAAGTAATCGAAATTAGTAATCGAAAACTCAGGGATTAGTATGTTCCTCTTTTTATCCACAACGAGAAAGCTCTTGACCTGCATCTTACCTGATGGAAAGTGTTGATTAAGCCGAAGGTGGAAGCAAGCTTCACCCGGAATCCTTAACCGCATATTGTAGGTATTTCCTTCATTTTGCACTAGATAAGATGTTAGATCAATTTTCAATTCGCTTAGTAAGCTACTTTACTATAAAATGCTACAAATGATTCAATTTGATTAGCAGAATAAACAAGAACCTAATTAGTTTATTAAAACTGAAACTAACGGAGCTGAACAAACTAATTTGATCAAAACGAGATTAGATCTAGATGTGCAGTAGACGGCAGATCAAACTTTGACCCAGTTAAGATGCATGTGTTTGCTGCATCTGTGATGCGCGTTATTATATTGAGTGTGGTGCAAGATGAGTTTAAGTGCCCTGGAAAGGGCCTATGTACTGAATAAAATATTTGAATTTGAATTTGATGAGTTTACTCTAATTTTCACAAATCTATTTGACTTTAAAGCGACACAAGCCTGCGAGCCTAGTGCAGAAATTGTGGTTTTTACATCCCAGATAATATTTAATTTTGTGAATAAAGATTATTTATTTATTATAGCTTTTGCCCGCGGCTTCACCCGCGTGAAATTTCGTTTGTCACAGATCGTCGTAAATTATAGCCTATATGTTATTCTGGGTTATAAACATTAATACTGTAAAGTTTCATCAAAATCCGTTCGGTAGTTTTTGCGTGAAAGAGTAACAAACATTCAGACATCCAAACTTTCGCATTTATAATATTACTCGTAGTAGGAAGTAGGATTTATTTATTTATTTATTAAGAACTAGATCTGTAGCAAATCTAGAGCTATGTTATAAAGCTCTAGTATCTTTACTATCTGACTCCAAACATTCAACTTTAATTACAATGTTGAACTAACAACAGTTGTAAAAAAAATTTCAGAGTAAAAACCATGGAAATGATAAAGTAATTTTACATTCATTATGTAAAATTGTCTCATAAAAGAGCGTGAGAAAGTTTTAATCCTACATCTTTGTAGTTTCTTATCTGAGAATATTGCTTCAAAATACTTTCAAAGTAACTTGAACACAAAAGTAAACAATCTATTTTAAATTCAACTTATTCAATACAGGGAAGTCATATGAAAATTATTATTTAGATATTTGAATGTA